ACAGTACTTTAAAAGCTTGCGAAGCTTTATCTAGCACTTCCTCGCCACCAGAAAGGAAGTAATGTGAGTCAAAGGTAGCGTGTCAGCAAGTACGTCAGCCTAGAACTGCAACAGTCAGGGAAACGTTGAGAATGACACGAAGGAACAAAGGCTATCAATGCACCTTCTCCACACACCAAAACCACAGTGAAATGACCAGATAGAATCTGCACACGAGCCTACTTCAATGCTTCGAGGGAAGCCCTACCCTCCCCCTCCAGGTCCCTGACACGTAGGAAGAGGTGGTAAATCCTTCTTGACCCTTTGCTAATTAGTTTAACTTCATGAATATGAGCAAGAATCACTGCTGTTCAGGTGCTGGGAAATACATCCCAGTGACTCATCCTGGCGACCCACAGAATTAAGGCCAAGTGCATTCAACTGCAGTGCATGAGCTGTTTGTCTGTAGGTTGAGGTTCATGGTGATAAGCATTAGGGTTTTCTCCTCTTTGAAATTTGCTTCCATGGGAAATGTCTAAGCCCAAACCTGGACGTGTTTAGTTAATCTGTTTTGGGAGTGCTTGAGTCCTGTCTGGGCTCGGTGTGGCACATTACAGAGAGCCACATTTGGATGTGGAGTTTGCTGGTTTGGTTTGGACTCACCTCTGTTCGGAGAAACCCAACAGTGTGGTGATTATCAGCTCTGCAGTTCCTGTGCCTTTGTAGAGTAGACATTATTCTATATTAGAAACCTTTTGAGTTCACAAATGTGATTCTGGACTGTCACATGGGAACCATTCACAGAACATGATGTGAATGCAGCAAAAAGCCAAATAGCACGCATACAATTCTAGCAATGTTATAGCAGAAGCAACACCTCTACTGAAAAGAGGGAAGAGCCACCAATGTCAGATAGTGTCACAGCTATCAACCCATGGACTCCTTTAGTAAAATTCCGGCCACTTTTCCAAACTTAACTCCCATCCTGTCAGATCCCAGTCAGCTCATGTGATGTTCACTTGACAGTGTGCAGCTAAATACAGGGCTGACATTTGCACCCTGACAGATAAGTTCTGTACTGTTTCCTGGAATGTTCACTTGACAGCATGAACTTAACTACCAGGTAGATATTTCAATCGGACCCAAACCAAGCTCTCTATCTAGCCTTCAATCTGAAGAACTGTGGAGCCCTCATCTGCTTCTCTAAGATTAAAGAGCTTTCAGTAGCCTCATTTCTCCACGAGTGAGTGGCAGGATGGTTTCCTATAGCAAATCATCCACCATGGTTCACCATGCCACATGCCCTCCTCTCCTTTGCTTCCTCTCATACCCCAGCAACTCCCTGTTCCCAACATCTAGTTTCTTCCCTTGAAAATCAAACTTCACAGCCACTCCCTGTCCTTCCTTCTGATCTCCCTCCCGCCTTCCAGGTTAACCACAAGTCACAATCAGAGAACCAAAGATAAAGGCAGGTTTTGTACATACAAAACAGGTATACATGCTAATCCTGCAGATGCAGTTTAGAAGTCCCGGGTATTTGTGTGCATAAACCCTTCACAGTTATGTACATAAACATAGAGCAGAAGGTGCAAATTCATCTGTAGGTCAGAATTATTCCCTTGCACTTGCAAATGTGAATTTTTCCTACAGTGGGTGCCAAATGCCATGCAAAAAGCTGTTCACATAGTTTGACTGGAGGCAGGAAGTATCTGAATTCTCTCCAGAAATAAGATTTTTCCAGCTCAGTTTTGCAGCTAGCAGAGATTCAGATGGTTCTGACAAGGATCTAAACCTCAGGGTGCTTATTTATAAAGCAGTTCCCAAACATGAGGTTCACCTGTCACCAATTGCCTCACCGTATCTATCTGTGAAATTCCTTCATTCTAAAACAACATTTCCATGGGATAGTTCCCAGTCTGTGTTTTGAGTTCTCTGATGCATCTTGTCTGCAGTAATATGATCTGGGATTGTATTTGTCTCGCTGCTTTTGATCCTCTCCAGGACTCTATATTGCTTTGTTTCCTTCTATCATTATTTAATAAAAACGCGGACATAAAAGACAGTGCAAATATTTGTCATGTAAATCAAAACAGAACAACTCTAGCCAGCCCATGGAATTTGGTGCAGTCATATACATAGAGTAGGGGCTTGTACACACTACTACTTATGTAGGTAAAACTTAGGTCACTTGGGTGTGAATAAGCCACCCCCCTGAGCAACGTAAGTTACACCGAGCTAAGCGCCAGTGTGGACAGTGCTATGTTGACGGGAGAGCTTCTCCTGCCGACATAGCTACCGCCTCTTGCAGAAGTGGTTTTATTATGCCAACGGGAGAGCTCTCTCCTGTCGGCATAGAGCGTCTTCACCAGTGCAGTGCTTCTAGTGTAGACTAGCTCTGGGACTCAAAATAAAGAGAGGAACACACGCAGTCCTCTTGTCGCAATAAAGCAACAAGTTTAATATAAAGTACACAGTATAGAAAGAAGATGGCAGGGAAAGAACAGCTAAAATCTCCCTTGATTAGTTTCTCGATGGATCCCTGAAGGAGCATGCAGACTGACTCTCAAATTCTCACGAATTTTTACAGTGCAGTGCTTGGCCTGCAAGCTAATGAGGGGCTACAGCCACTGCCTCTGAAGACCACCAAAGCTATAGCAGCCATCTGGTGAGAATCACACCTGAGGGTTTTCTTGGTCAGTAAAAGGAGAAAAACGGAATTTGAATAGACATGAAGAGGCAAGAAAGGTTAGTGGCAACCTCAGACAATGGAGAAGAACATGAGAGCTCAAATGGCAGTTGTTCTTGCAGTTGATAAACCAGGACAGGGTGCCTTGGTTTGTGGTATCTTGCAGGTTTGTGGTACCGTGTGGAAAAAGTGTCACTGCTTTGTAGATGTAAGTGTTTGAATTTCCCTTTCAGCTGCCCACGCAGAACGTGGGGTGCACCATAGCAGACCTCCATTTGCAATTTTTTGAAATGTCTAGTATCCATTGTAAAGTATTAATTGGCATAGTTGTGGCAGCAGTATGGATTCTGCCTTCTCTTATGCCTTGTCAGGTGTCCATCATTCAGTCCCAGGGAGTGACGCTGAGCTCAAACCCAGCTGAGTACGTATCTCACAGATGGAGGATATGATCCATCTCCCAGTAAAGTTAATGGGTGACCTGATTTCAGTGCAGGCAAGAGCAGGCCAAGAGGCTGTGACATTAAACAACACAGGCAAGGAACTCACACGTAAAGGCCAACGCTTCCCTCGGCACAAGAATGCTCCCTGAATTACTGTTAACGCATCTTTTGAAGCCTCAGTATATTAAAGTTTTGGATTCATTTAACTGATCTCCTTTGTCTTTATTGTCTTCTAAAATCAACTTCATACCCTTCGAATAGCTATGGGCTAGGGGAATTGTTGAGAGGCTACTGATCCAAATGATCAAGTAGTATAGCCCCTACATTAAGTGGTTTTGTTTATTTGTGTTAAAAAAAAGTATGGTTGTGGGTAGTGGGGCTGTTTATGAAACCTATTACAACCTGACATGATTAATTGCCAACCCAAGCACAACAGCACTGGTTTAGTGAATGAGAATAGGCAAGTGAAACTGACCAGGCTAATTTCACTCTTTACTGAGTGGAATTACAAAAAAAACAACAACAACAAAAACAATTTGGATTTTAAAACTTTGGCCTTTGTAACCCCAGGTTCTCTCATCAACACAGATGGGGAATTTTTCACAAATGGGATCATTATCTGACAAGGCTCAGTCTTGCTCCCCTATAAATAAATTTTCAAACCTCCTTTTGACCTCAGTGGGGGCAAGGTGGAGCCCAGAGTATCCCATTAAACAAAATGAAGGAAGGAGGGTTAGTTAGCCTGGTGGTCTAATCATCATACTTTGCATTACCACACAGGTGACCCACATTTGATTTCTTGTCCCTTATCTCTTAGTCTCAGGTCTGGCCAGAGCTAAGAAAGGATCAAGAGCAACATGCTGAGATCCCACAGTGGGAAGGGTGTGTGGGGGAGATAAGCGGAGAGTAGGGCTGGTTTTCTATGTACCATTAAGGAGCACTGGTTCATGGGTTTTATCCAGGCTTCCTTGGCCAGAAGGGTCATTGCCAAATAATGGCGCCTCAAAGGCTAAAGAATGTTGTAAACATGGGAGAAACGTGAGGAGGAGTCTTGATAATGCAGGAACCCCCAGAAAAGGAGCCGGGGGAGGGGTGGGGGTCGAAAATGGTGACTTAAGCAGAGATATAAAACAAAACAGCATCACTGCTGGATACTGCCTGGGCCTCACCATATATTGAATATAAAACAGCCTTCCCTCCCACCAGCACCGAGCTTGTCAAATTGATTGAAACGTTAAAAGGAAAGCATCATCTTTAAATGATTTTACAAGAGAAAAGAAATCTTCAGTTTTGCACCACAACCTCTAGGCTTCAAAGGAATAAAATCTATGATCCTGCCTATCCCTGCACCACCAGAGTAAAGAAAGAAAGCACGAGAAGAAGAAAAAAGACACGGTTAACATCTGGCTCTTGATTCTCTGATGAAGAACCGAGATATCCCTATAAAAATGGCAAGAGCTGACAGTAGCTAGGAAGGTTTCCTAGTGTGCCTTTGTTCTTTGAAGACAAAAATAATAATAAAGCTCTGATGTCATTCCTACCTATGAAAGGCTTTGCTTTGTTAGGGTGGGTTGGTGGGGCACCCCAAGAGCTGGGTGGATACAGCAAAAATCTGCTTCAGTATAAAACCAAAGATAATGGAAAATGGTCCATGTCCCTTGCAAAGATGACTGCTTGTGTCTGCTATGGGGAGGTTATGGAGAAAGGCCGCACTGTTTGGGATATACACATGGAACATTAGTGATACAAATACTGGAGCTTGATCCCACATTTACTGCACAACCAAATCTCCCACTGAAGCCAGTGGGAGTTTTAAATGCAAAAAATTGGCCCCACATTTCATATGTGACAGTAACAGTCCAGTGCAGTGAGATAAGGAAGGGAGAGCCACTCACCCTTACGAAGCTGGCGGGAAACCATCCTTCTTCATCGTCAATCTGACCCCACCACCAGTCCTTGTTGGAAGCATCCAGGACCTTGATAACGTCTCCTGCTTTAAACGCCAACTCCCGGTTGGCCATGGTGACGTGATCCCATACTGCCTCAGCACTTACAATAGAACCACCACTGATCAGCTTTAAAAACAAAACAAGAGACAGTCAGCAAACACTCTGTCCGGGGACCCAAACACATTCACATACACAATGTAAAAACAAAACACTCAGCTAGAATAAACAACCCCCCCCCCATTTACTATCATTGTCATTGCTACCCCCATTTTCACTAATAATACATTATTCAAACCCTTAAATAGATAGAATATCCCATTTCTTAGTTGCTAAGGTCCTGACACTGGGAAGTGCTAAAGGGAACAGTGTTTGCTGGGGCTCAGAATTTCTCACGATCAGGCCCTACGTGATTAACAAGCAAAGACCTCACCCTACCTCTGAGCCACACCTATGCACACATGCTTTTCAAGGAACTAGGCTTTCACGTATGATTTAGTTAGCACAGTATATATCTGGGTGTTCCTAATTATGCCATCTTGGCAAGGAATTTTAGCAACAGGACAGTCTTTTATATTTTGCTTGGCAAAGTGGTATATTCCCATCTTGATGTGGCTGAGATTTTGCAGACAATTCCAATTAATGGATGACCATGTTGGAAATCTTCGATCTACAGAGCAAGTGCAACATGGGCATTTGGCAGAGCAAAATTTCCCTGCCCCAACCTACTGATTTGTCTTAAACCAGAGCTGGAGGGAAGAACAGACTCAATAGCCCATTCAACCCTTGGTCGGTTTGCTGAGAGTGTCAATTTAGTGCTGATTGTGGTGATGGGTTTCATGATGCAAACACCTGTCCACTAGAAACTAGACGGAGGCCCCCGAATTCATCTCCCCCAGGCCACAATGAACACGGAACACTCAATCTCTTTTGAGTTAGGCTATATTCATATCCGTGACCTAGAGGTGAAAGGTTCTGTTTTCCATTAACAGTTTTCTGAGCCATCTAATCCTCCACAATCCCCTGATTAACCTGGAATGAGTCATGTCAACCCTCCTCCTCGCATGTCTAGATGAGAACAATCCAACTGTAACTGGGATCACCCATTGCTTTTCACAAGGATGCTCACAGTTTTAAACAGGAGAATAAATTGTGCTTATGCTTTGTTCAGTGAATGAACTGTACACTGAGCGATAAGACTGGATGGGTATACACAGCCTGGTGACCATGCCAGGAAGGGACAGCTTTACATGTGCTAGTTACACAGCTTTTCTCGGATCACCTCCTCAGACCCTGCTCTTTAATTCTGTAGCTTGAGATGTATTAGATGTGGTTGATATGGGCTCAGTTTCAAATCAGTATTTCATCTTGGGAAGCAAGAGACCCAACTCTGCAGCCATTAGGGACTTTCCACATGGCATGAACTTAACAGTCACAGATGTCCACTCAATTTAGGTTAAACAATGCAAGACACACAAAAGAAAACAACCCATCATGGAGGCTACATGAAAGCAGAGGCCCTGCGAACTGTTAGAGGATTCTGACTCCTCTTCTAGAAGTTCAGTCAGTAAAGAAATATCTGATCAAAAATTTGCCTGCACAGAAGGAACTTGCAGTAAATCTTTCACCACTGTTGCACAGGTTCTGAGTGTATAAGAAGACAGATCCTCATGAGTAGATTTGCAGGACTTGTTTTACCCCATTCCTTGAGCTGACATTCCTCTAAGAAGTCAAGCTTCATAGGTTTGTGAAAAATATTGGTGGGCTTTCAACTCTTCAGTTATCAGAATCAGTTGTGCATAGAAAACAAAATCTAGCTCAATCTTGATACTTAATGCTTTTCATCGTCAAAGCACACTACAAGCACGGACTATTCTCCCCATCTACAGTAGGTAAGATAAGATTAGTTACACCCATTTTACAAATGAGTAAACTGAGGGAGTGGAGTCACATGATATCCCCAAGGCCACAGAAGGAGTCAGTTTCAGAGACAGGATCTGAACTCAGGAGGTCCTGTGCCCAGGCCCTTTGACTGCACCTCTGCCTTTTTCATAAAGTCAGTAGGTTGCTTATATTTGCAAGTTTTCCCAGTGATATTGTCAGGTTCCAACATTTTCCAAAGGACATCCAGATTTGGTGGACCAGTAGCCCTAAACACATTAAGTACTTGCTAACAAAAGTGACAATTTACTTGTCCTCAAGTCCAGAGACAAGTGAAGAAAAAATATTCTTTCTACAAATGTCTGTTTTACAGCCCTTTCTAGAACTCCCTGGAAATTCATCAAAAACAAACTCCTTACAATCGCACGCTGCAGACAGAGAATGCACTAGGGCCCAGCTTGATAAGGGGACTTATTTAACAAGAAGCCCGTAATGGGACTAGCACTGCACCTAATCTACCCATGTAGAAGGCACCTTGATGTGTATTTAACTTCCATACAGATATCATAGCTTGGGCATTTGGTGCACAGCTCCTTCTGCAAGGTACAGGTCGAACTGAACTTAATGGGAGTTGAAGGCACTTCATATCGCACAGGAGGTGCTCAGCCTATTAGAACACTGGGCTCTGAATTAGCATTACGGTAGTTAGGTAAGAATTAGTCTGGAAAAATGATGCAGGTTATGATGACCAACCCATGGATCTAGCCTCTTTACAGCACCCTTATTACAGGACATGCTTTGGAGAAGCTTCTGAGATGGGTACAGCCGGTCAAATAATGGTCAAATCATTTATTTGACAAATTTCTTTATATTTTCCTTAATTACTCAATGAATGTTTTTAAACATTATTTGCACAACTGGAATGCTGGGCTGATAATTCAACCAACCTATTTGCAAACAATATATTGGATAAATTGTGCAATGTGTTTCAAACAATTTGCCCAGCTCTGGAGAGGGAATAGGTTCTACTACAGGACTTCCTTATAACAACCCTTGGCATTTTTCTAACACAACAGAAGATCCCCAAGGCCCTCACAAACACGAATCAGTTAAATCGCCAATAATCCCTATGATAAATCAAGAAGGAGAATTAGCTTTCTTTATAGATGGGGAAACCAAGGCACAGAGAAGTTTAAGTGACGTGACCAATGTCACACAACAAGTTAGTGCTAGAGCTCGGAATGGAATCTAGATCTCCTAACTACCAACTCCCTGTTTTAGCCACATCCCATTTTTATGTACGTTTGTTGTTTCCATTGCATTTTTCATGTCTAATTAATTGTGGGTAGTCTCTCTTCAGGACACACTACCCAGGCAGTGTTGTGTATTTTAATTCATAGTTGTATTGTGTATTAACACCTTAAGAGAAGTAAAACCTACCAATTTTTAATGTGGCTAATTACCATACTGAATACTAGTTTTCAAGATGATCCAGGAACAGGGCTATTGTACAAAGGGCTTAATCCCCTTCACTACCACCACCCCGCCTCCCTCTACCTCTCCACATATGCTATTCCTGGGCACTGGATCCACACACAAAAATATTCCTTAGACCAAACTTCAGAGTGATTTTCTTTCAGATTTGTTACTGTGCTGGCAGGATAGAGTAACCTGAGTCTGACCCACACAATCCTAAGAACTGCGCCATGGTCAGCGATGGTAGGTGACAGAGACTCTCTGATGGCCAGGTAAGGAAGGCCGTTTACCGGACATTTCCCTTCCTTTATCACTGTGAGCATGTGAAAGATTCTTTCACTAGATGTCAGAGCCCAAATGACTCTGAAAGGCATTTGTTGATACACGAGGAGTAAATCACGTTTGACGAAATCCAGTGCCTTCTAGAACAAAATAAGGTGCGATTGAAAACAAAAAGGAGTGAAGTGGGTTGGCAGGATTCAGGCTCCAGCCATCACATATGTTGCACCCATTGAAAAAAATGCCACAACCTAGAAGCAAAAGTCTAATTCTCTCTCTGGTTCATTTTGTGAGACATTGGGCTGTACCTGTAAGGCAGCCTGACTAGTACAAGGCAGGGTTATAGAGATGGGGCTTGACATCTGCAGGAGCAACAACAGACAATGAACGAGAGACAGGTTAGAACCAAATCCTATAAAGTCTAGGGAAATTCAGATCAAGAGCCAAACACACCAGAAAGCTCCAATCTCTTTCATAGAATCATAGAATATCAGGGTTGGAAGGGACTTCAGGAGATCATCTAGTCCAACCCCCTGCTCAAAGCAGGACCAATCTCCAGACAGATTTTTTTACCCCAGTTCTCTAAATGGCCCCCCTCAAGGATTGAACTCACAACCCTGGGAGGGAGGCCTCCGAATTCATCTCCCCCAGGTTACAATGAACACGGAACACTCAATCTCTTTTGAGTTAGGCTATATTCATATCAGTGACCTAGAGGTGAAAGGTTTTGTTTTCCATTAACAGTTTTCTGAGCCATCTAATCCTCCACAACCCCCTGATTAACATGGAATGAGTCATGTCAACCCTCCTCCTTGCATGTCTAGATGAGAACAATCTCTATAGTGAGCTGAATCAAAACCTGATTTGGACATGCCTAACCCATGAGGCATTTCAAACCCAGATACTAACTTTCTGGCTCATCCCCATCTCTACATGGACACCTTGGGTCTTCAGTTCAGCCATCACTCATGACAGTAGAGATGGCCTACTAGTCAGTATAAAAGCACCAACCCAGATATTATAATGATGGCTGTGATATAAAGAGCTGGATAAATATAGACAAAGAGATAGCACCTTGGCCAAAAATGCAAACCAAATCCATCAAAACCGTTCTGAAGTTCAAAAACTTAAATGAGCTTTCTCTCTTTCTAATCCAACATGCATCTCACATCCTGGCTTCAACATACTTGAAACCACATGAGCAAGGCTGTTCTCATGTGGCACGTCAAACCAAGCCAATGGTAGGAAGTACCAGAAGTCTCATGAGAAAGCTTGATCTCACCAGATTTTCAGCCCAAGAAGGGTTGGATGAATTTGCAATGGCAGCTGAACTTTGAGATGCTTTTTGAAACCTATCTTTCCAACAGGAGATGGAGCTTGAATAAAACCTTGGACCTGAACAGGTGCTGGGGAAGTGGAATCTGGACTCGTACGTTATGGCACAAGCCCAATTCTTCCTCCAGCTTCTTAAAGTTCACTCATCACTACACAAA